TGCAAAGCTACCCCTTAAAAAAAAACGCAAGGCCAATTTCTAATTTAAACATGTCTTTCCATTTATCTGAGACTGACAGGAAAGCCTAATTACCAAGAAGAGTTACAAGAGGCACCTGCAAACCTCACAAGTTTGGGTCACAGCATGTTCAGTTTAAGTGGAAATTAAGGTTTCGTGGTCAATAATCTCCCAAACCAGCATGGTGAGAATGTTTTGGAAGACTAAGCGAATGGCTTGGTGAAACCACTAAGCATTGTTTAACTCAACTCTGTATTGGGATCATTTTTGAAAATGACTGATCAGCCAGCTCCAGGCTGATGCACAGAGTGAGGGTTCCCTGCTCCCTATTCCACTCACAAAGTGAAGAGAACGCTTTGCTTCCCAAAAAGTCACTATCTTCCAAAGTTCAAAATCAGCAGTGTTTTCAGACAGTGAGTGAATGTGCCTGTCAGTAGCTTTGCATGCTCTCCCACACCTGTCTAGGGACTCACCTGAGAAGGGGCGCTGCAGGAGAGCCCGGAGAGCTCACTGATGCGGGCAGCAGCCGTGGGGTTGCTGGAGCTAATGAGCACAGGCGGGCTGATTTCCATAGAATGGCGATTCTGGGGTGCCTGGGCGGCCTTGGTGGCTGTGGTGAGGGCTGTGAAGGAGTGCCGCTTCTTGGCACTCTTCTTGGTGTCAGGGCGCCTTGGGGCGGCACCTTCCCCAGCATCAAGTCCCAGTGCAGGGGGCTTGTCCCAGTCTATCAGCTGCTTCGCTGCAGAATTAAACTGCGGAGGCATCCAACAAACCAACAGGAAGGTCAGGCAATTCTCAAGGGTTCCCTGAGGTTTGTTTTCAACATGATTCTATCCCAAATCTAAAATTACCACTTTATAAAGTTTGCCTACACAAACACCTGTTTGTTCCTCATGAGATGTCTTTTCTCTCCATACTGAAATTTCATGGTATCTACCTCAGAGGTCAGTATTAAACCAATAATAAACATTTCCAATGCAGGATTAAAAAGGTAAAAAAAAAAATTATTGTAAGAATTTTCAAGATTAAAAAGGTAAAAAAGTATTATTAAATGAATTTCTGGAATGTCTACTTTTAAAACAAATTCTGAGTTTTGCCCCTCGGGATCTGAGTAAGTGCATAGCAGGGCAGGCTCCAATAATGAATGAAGATTTATTTTAATTCACTGATGAGAATTAGAGTAGTACAATCAAAAGGTTATATTTGTCTGACTAGATGTTTGCTCAGCGTCTAAATGAGCATTGAAGGGACAACTTTTGCTTTTGGCAAAAATGAGCAAGAACACAAAGAATGGGATAACTCAGTGCCTACTTCTACGTAAATTAACTGCCTGTCTCTATGCATTTGGGGGGACCCTCACAAAAAAGTCGATGGAAATTCTTAACATGTTCTATGCATTTTGCTGTGTCGGTTACCTTCATATGTGCTAAAGTTTAAATTCTAACAGTGAAATCAGAAATTCAAGTCCTGCTGGCAAGCTAACTCGGTTTATTTGAAAAGTCCCATTGTAGAGTACAAAGGGTCAAAATCTGCGCACTGGGCTGATAATATCAGCAAATTGGAAAGAACACAAACCTTTTGTTTTCCCTAAGGTAAAATCCAGAAAGCATCAATGATAAGCTTCATGAAACTTACCTAGATACTACAATAATGGGAAAACACTAAGCACATAGCTTAACATTCTCATAGAAAAAAAGAGATAAAAAACAAACTTTTCAAAGATAATTTAGGTAATATTAAGAAAAAAATAAGGCTCGGCGCCTATAGCTCAACCGGCTAAGGCGCCAGCCAC